TGATATATCACTCGACCCCACTTTCCATTTAAAATTTTAGGGTTGTTACTCACCCTCGCTAGGGGGTTGAAGGCACAGGTAGAAAAATACATCTAAAATGTGTCCCCCTCAAAAGCGAAATTGACCTGTCCGAGCATTTTTGCGTTAAGTTACAAAAAAAGGAGAAAAGCAAGGTGCATACTTTTCGTTGGACCACTCTGTATATGTATGTGTATTGTGTGTTTATAGGCAGATATAAACTGTAACATGCTTGTTAATAATATTAACATGTCTTTATTGGGATTTATTCGTGTTGAGACATTGAACAATTTTTTTTTAATTTTCGATACCAGATACCAAACTTGTTGACAAAAAAAAGAATAATTAATTTACTTATCAGTGGCAATTGTGAACACTAGTTTTGGGACATCAATTTTATTTTTCATCAATGACCGATCTTTGATTTTCCAAGGTGAAAAACGTCCTCATGGAATCCAAGTTGCCATTCGAAACGCTAGGCAAAATTTGGGATTTAGCCGATCAAGATAAAGACGGAATGTTGAATAGGCATGAGTTCGTAGTGGTAAGTGATTGAATAGCCCGGAAAAGATGTCTATGTACGAATAAAGTATCATTTGTTACCGGAGGTTTTTTTAGGCTATGCATCTAGTTTACAAAGCTTTAGAGAAATACGCGATACCGAATACGTTACCGGTGGAACTGGTCGAACAAGTCAAGAGGAAAAGTTCAACTTTGATTAAAGGAATAGACGGTATCAATATAAAACCCGAAGTTCCACCTCTTCCGGTATCTATTCCGACTGCTTCTCCAGTTCCAGTTGTCAAAAAACCCACTTCCATTCAGCCCGTCGTTAGTTGGGTAGTATCGCCAGAGGAAAAGGAGAAATCTGATGTTCTATTCGTGAAGAGTGATATCGACAAAGACGGTTTCGTTTCCGGTCAAGAAATTAAGGATGTCTTCTTACAGTCCGGCGTACCGCAGCCGGTGTTAGCCCACATATGGTATGTGGATCTTTGAAAGTGAATCAGAAACTATTGGTTGCTTTTGATCAATATTCTCAACGTAGAATTTTTTTTTCCAGGGCTTTGTGTGACATCAAGCAAAGCGGTAAATTGAATGACGAACAGTTTGCGTTAGCCATGTGGTTTGTGGCGAGATGCTTGAAAGGTATAGAACCTCCAGGCGTACTTTCGGCTGACATGGTGCCCCCCAGTTTCCGGACTATGAAACCTTTAGATGGCCTTGTGGTGAGTACCGATAATACACTTGAACATACGTAAAGTCTGAGGTAGTTTGAGATCAGATTCGGCTGTTGAAAAAATATTCCTGTAAAAATATTATAGAACTGACCGATACCTGATGAAAATCCATTATAATGCATTGAAAAAACTTTAATGAGACTTCTACTCGAAAGCTTACAAAACCGTGACACTTATTTCGTTGTACAATAGCATATTTCACCTACTTTTAAGATCTATCCTAATTACCAATTTCCTCATTGTTAACTAAATTCAATAAAGAGAACAATTCAAATCTATTTGATAACTGAGCAATAATCCCGAATTTTTTAATCCATTGATTTCAAACTTTCCAAAAAGTTGACTTTTGAACCTATCTCTTCCAAATGCAATACGTCATCGTTATTGAACTCATGCCCCACTATCAGAAGATGATTCGCAAATGTTGAATTGGTCTTCCCATTCAAAATACAACTTCTATGTTCCTTCAATCTTGTGGAACAAATTCTTCCGGTTTTTCCTATATAAAATTTTGGACAAGAACCACAAGTCAACTTGTAAACTCCTGATCTATTAGACACTGGAGTTTAATCTTTATTGTTTTTAATGAATCTACTCGAAATTATTTGTTCTGTATGCTACATCTAATTCTGTGTTTTATTTAAGTTTGAAAAAAAACAAGCGATATTGAAAATTTGAAAATACCATGGTACATTGAGTCTATTACAATAT